ACACACACACACACACACACACACACACACACACACACACACACACACACATACACTCGAGACCCCAAGAGGATGATGGAGTCGGCTTTTCATCATTTAGTGCTGGAGAAGTTCTAGAATTGTTCTATTTGATGGCTGTGTGTTGTCCTAAAATAGTCCAGACTGGAGCCTTGGGTTTCCGTCCTGCTCTTAGGAACGTTGTATTCTACATTGTCCGTACGCCCTGGGGTCATTTTGTACCCCCGGTGTTGTATTCTTCACCTTTTAGAATGCTTTTAGTTTGAAGATCTCTTTGAAACGTTCAGTTTTTCCTCAAAAAATCATTTTAACAGACTGCAATGCAAAGCGTACGGGTCGGATTAACGAGTAAATTTCCTCTTTGGAAAGTGGTGGCACAGAGTTCCCCACGTCGTATGGATACGATAATAAAACACGACCTACGGATAGGGTTAAGTAAAACACGACGTACAGATAGGGTTAACATTGTGTTCAGTCAAGGAAAAAAGAGAAAAAGAACAAGAAGAGACGAAATACCATCATCTTGAGCGACTTCCTGAGCTTGGAATTGGATGGGGCGCCTGCAGAAGTTCAAGACTGAGTGGGAGGAGCAGAAGGCTATGGAACCAACCATTGCTTGGAACCGTCAGCATCTACACACTAGGAGATGTGCTTCTTCAGGGTACAGAGCGCTTATGGGGATGTCCCTTGTGCAGTGATGTCGGTCTTTCACACAAGTAAACAAGTCTGTGTGAATGTGTCAACTCACTTCTGCACGGGACAAGCACACGACACGCAGATCTACCTGACTCACTGCCTAAGAAACACGATTCAAGAGACGGGGTGAGTAATTTTCGAGACTCACGTGGAGCACGTGGAGACGTCTAGACAGACAGGCGATGAAATCTACAAGCTTACACTGACATGTGGGGGCAGGGTGGTGTCGCTGTCTCAAAATGAGCAATTTGTATTGAAGGTTACTGTAAGTCATATATTTTAGTGATCCTGTGTATGCATCCAAAGAGCGGTTTTTAATATAGGGCCCAAAGAGAAAAACTTTTTTATTGCTCGGTCAAGATTTTTGGAAAACATATTTAAGTTTGGCCGCTGGCCTGCAGACGTGCCCTGCAGAGTTTCGTGGACATTGGTGAATTCCTCAATGAGCTAGAAGTTTGTTAACGCGGTCAGACGAAAGTAAAGGGGCAATAACTGTCGCTCACTGCACGTGCAGAAAGCTGTAGAGACCGGGAACTAGATCTAGATCTATCTTTCTCTACAGCACGTCGTTCACTCAAAACACGTTTTGACGAGGCAAGTCCGCATGCCCC